GGCGACAGAAGGTGTTATTTCATCTACACTGTCCTTTGCGTCTACACTCTCATGTCGACAAAGCGACTTGCTTTGTCGACAGAACTGGACGTAGTCTAGACGCTCTTTGTCGACAGAAGCTTTGTCGACAGTATCTGTCGACAAAACTTCTGTTGACAAAACCCTGTAGTCTAGACGTACCCTAACAGTTACCTGTGGATGTGACAGAACTCACATTTCAAATGGATGTCTAAGGAAAGTTGTAAGGTTTCAAAATGGAATTTCAGACTCCATTTTGAGATATTGCAGAACTCCATCATATTTTAAACTTTTATACATATTAAGGAGTGTATTGATTCACATAACACCAGTCCTATACACTGTACAAATATTCACAAAGTGAATTTACATTAAAATAGCTTACATTTGCATTTAATCACTTGATTTTTACTTAAACATAGTCACTTCTGCCTTACAATTCCAAGAATGAGCTTGGGGTTGAGCTCAGTCAGGACAGGAAGGTAGCACAAAGTTCTGCAGTAACTGCAAAATGGCCATGTGGGGCCATTGCATGTCCAGGGGCAGCTCTGGCTCCATGGAACCAAGAGAAAAGTTGTGGCATCCAAAAAAGAGGGGCAACCACAGCACGCACTGTGAGAGCTTTGCTGTCCCTCAAAGAGGTAGGCAAGCACTCAGCAGAATCACAGAAATGGCTGTCCAGGGAGGTCCCTTTAAGTGTGTGTCTCTGCAAGACTCTGGCACCAGCACTCGGAAGCAATTGGTGACCTAAAGTCCTGCCTGAAGTGATTCCAGGTGGCCTTTTATGTGAGAGAGCATCCAATCAGTCTGGATCCACTTTTGAAAAAGGAGATCACTTTTTCGATGTGCTTTTTGAGTGTGGACACTTTTGAAAGAAGTTTTTTTGGAAGATCGCTTCCAAAAAAAACTTCTTTCAAAAGAAGCTTGCAGCTGAGGTGTAGCCTGAGACAAGAGAAGGAAGGAGCAAGAAGCCTGTGAAGCATAAGAAAGAAAAGATAGAGAATGAACGTGAATATTTTGGAACACTATTGCCTCCACTGTTCATTATTTGGGTTTGTGC